CAAGTGGTAAAACGCGGCACCGAAGGTGTCACGAAGAAGGCACGACCCTTTACAAGTAATTTTTCTACACGCAATTTTACGCGCAATTTTGACACAGTTTTGGAGCAGCTTATAGGACAACGGCGCTCCCCCCTCCTGGGCTGATCCACTTGACTCTTTTATGAGCACAAGAGGAAGGAACGAAGGTATGCACAAAAAAAAGAAGAAAAAAAAAAAAGATTAGCCCATTTGCTTACTACGTCCTGTAGGGGGTAAAACGGAAAAGTCACACAGCACGCGGCTTTACACTTAGCAATTGGCAGTGATCTGTTTGCGAAACTTGCAAGGGTGAGAAGCGCCTCCCCAGTTACAATAACTACCTCCTCGCTGGAGCGTCTATAGACAATGCGCCCCGTTGGCGACCCCTAGTTCCCTTACCAATCGTGCCGAGCTTCAATGAGTCCCACGAGCTTATGGTCATTGTCAAATATGGAGTAGTACTTTCTTATGAAAACGTTGCCTGTGCGGAAGGTAAGGGGGGAGGACGCAGATTAGTGGTCTGCTCAAACGTTATGACAGACCTCCCCCTTGCCACGTTGCAAAACAGGTGTGCACATTACCGAAGATAAAGATGGGCCCACGAGGCGGGGGGACGTCCAGCGACATTATTCCGATCACGCCTGCAAGGGGAGGAGCGCCGGTAATGGATAGTAGGTGGTAAGACGAGTTAAGAAGAGGTAAGAACCGCGACAGGTGAACCAGCTATGACGACATCATATTTGTGTGGTATCTTACACTGAACAGAATTATCCTCCTAAAAGGGGATGCACACACCGTCGGGAAGAGAAAAAAAAAAAAGTGAGCAAATGTAAGCAAATGTAAGCAAATGTGAGCAAACGTGAGCAAACGTGAGAAAGAGAGAAAGACAAAGTGGGGCGAGGGAGCGCGGCACGCTCTCCCCCCGAAAGACACTCCCTAAGACATTTGCCAATCACGGTAGATATGACTCTCCGTTGCACATTTTTTTGAAGGGATTCTCCCAAAGAGCCCACGTAAAGTAGCGGAGCCATCTCGTCCCTCTACGCTACCTCGTCCATTTCCTCCAGGACGTAATCGTCCGGCGTAAAATCGAACTTCACCTCCTTCCCCTCGACATTTTTTAAAATAAAAGAAATATTTGGCAAGCTGCTCTTATTTGAGCAATCCTTCTCCAAGTACAATTTTTCTATCAGCGGTTGCATCAGGCTGGATGGGCCGGTTAGCTAAAGGGGAAGGAAATGGAAAAAATATATGAACCGTTCAGAAAAAAATGGAAAAAGGGGGCAAAAAAAAAAAAAAAAAAAAATATGAACTGTTCATAACAAACTTGAAAATATGTAGCGAGAAGGAAAAAGCTAGATCGTCTTATTTATCGAGGGGAGTATCACCCCGCTACAAATTGCTCACAAGTAACACATACCAAACTGGACCCAGTGTCAATGGCCGCTCTACATTTCCTATTTTCGCACATCTTTAAATTCTTGTCTGAGAGTTGTACGTCTATCAGGTTAATTTCCCAGAAATCTGTTTGCAAAAATGGGACGTGGGCAATTCACGGTGTTCCAGTAAAGTGTGTAACGAAGCGGAGTTATCCTTAATGCTGCTAAATTGGATAACTTTTTTTTTTTTTTTTTTTCTCACAAATCGATATGACGGGAAACCATTGAATTTGCCTCCCTTCGAGGGCGTATTTACTGTTGGCTCGTCCGAATGTAATGGAGCCGGGCCTGTTCAAGGAAAAGAAGTTTTACATCTATTGCTCATGCTTAAGTGAGCACGGGGGAGTGCACAGGTGTGCTTACTCTTGCAACTTCTTTGGCACGTAAAAAGAGAAAATGTTCCTTTTCAGCAGGTTCTGGCATTTCCGAAGGGGGGAGGGGTGTTTGCTGGGGGGGTTGCTTGTTCTCTGGGCCGGTTGTCATGTCGACACGCTGCCAAACAGTCAAGCAGCCATGCCCCTATTCCCGCTATCCACACACCTGCTTTTTTATCGTCTCTATTAAAGACATCCCGTATCCTTTTTTAAAGCTGAAGTCCGCTTCGCGCAAATCGGCGCGGTCAAAGGGGGGGAAATTAACAATCAGCCGCGGCTTCACACCCAAGCGAGCAAATATGCTCAAAAAAGGTATCTGCGAAGAGGCGAAAAAAAAAACTAACGATCTGAAAATCCCAGGCCAACAATCCCATCGAAGGGCAAATCCGAAAAGGGGTGTAAAGACTCTACAAAAAAAAGAAAAAAAAGGGGGCATTTCTTATTTTAACTTTTTCTCTCTTTTTTTTTTTTTTTGTGCGTGTGATTTGATGAAGATAGGTTTTCCGCTTCGTAAACCTTCTATGGCTAGCCCGACACTCTGATGTTTGATCCGTCTAAGGGGAGAAAACGGGAGCCATCCGAATGGGAGTGTCTATGCAGAAGCATTTGTCTGAACATTTGGGAAGACGCTTAGTTGCGCACAGCGGTGTGTTCCTTACAGTCCCTTTAAATTGACGTCGTCATATCCGTGCTCAAGGACTTGGGGAAAAGAAAAGACAAAAAAAGAGAAAATAAGAAAAAACAAACGAAATAGAACAAACAAAATAGAACAAACAAAATAGAACAAACAAAAGAGAACAGCACAAAATAAAACACCATAATAGCAACGGGTCCAGTCACCCAGTCTTCATTCACCACACCGTTTTGTTACACACGAGAGTGCAATTTTATTTTATTTATTTTTTTTTTTTTACTGCTCTTTCCTGTCCCGTACTAATGCGAACAAGAGAAAAAAAAAATCGGTGATGCAAAGATGAGGGGGAATGTCCAAGCGGGTTTCCCTTTTAAAGGCACATGAGTTGATAATTTGTTTTCTTTTGGATTTCAAAAAATTCGCAGCTGACCTGGATGTACGTGTAAATAGACTCCTTATTGTCTGTTGGGTGGGGAGGGTAAAGCAGTCATGGTCACTCCTTTGACGCGACTTTTGTGCTGGGAGAGTGACTCGTTTGTGCTGATAGAGCGACACGTTTGTTCCTCCCCTCGGTTACCTTTTAACTGCCGCGTGTACGTCCTGGACTGATCGGGGTTGAATTTCTTGTGGGACGCACAGCCTCCTCTGCGGGGTGGGGGAAACAGAAGAAGCGTAATGCGTGGGGGAAACGGAACATGTATACGGCTTGGAAGAAACAGAAGGTGTACACGGCGTGGGATGTGTAGAACGCGCGTGGATAAGCACTGCGGTTGCTGCTGATCTCACTGCACAAGCACAGCAGATATATCTACGCGTCTTCTCAGGCGGTTGGCCTACTTGACACATTTCGTCGAGGGCAGGGCGAAGTTGCTGGACCCGGTGTCGAACACGACCTTAAAAGTCTGCGGAGGAGTGCCAATCTCTATCTCCCCAATAAATTGGCTGTTGTGAAAATTGAGTAAATCCTCCTGCACGTACAGCAAGGAGTTTGGAGTCCTGTTTTCTATGGTGTCGTGAAAGGATCTCACGTTTCGTATGAACCCCTTTATGTCATTTTTAAATCGGTTATTCAATTTTATTTCGCTGAGGAGAAGGCGCTTCTTGCTGGTGTCCTCCAAGGGGGGGGCGTTACTTAAGTTGTTTTTCCCTCCTCCACTTTTAAGGGCGCTAAATGGAGGTAGACACAAAATTGGGGGCGGAAGCAAAGCCACGAAGAAGGTGAACAGGGCGGCAAAAAGGAATGCTCGTCCCATTTTGCGCCGTCTCTCCTTGGGGTGACTTGGAGGTGATGAGGCAGTTCGATTAAACAAAAAAATTAACACAGCAGTGAGGCAGCAGCAACGTGGCAGTACCTAGGCCAAGTGGTGGGCGCAAATGGCTGGCCTTTTGCTCGCCGAGCAGAACTTAGCCGCGGAAGTGGAAACGAGACAGAGGGGGAGCAACGCATCACGGGGGGGAAGTAACGAAGGGTGTGCCTTGGCGATGTGGAAAAAAAAAAGAAAAGAAGAAGAAAGGGTAAACCATGCCAATCTAAGAAGATCAATCCAAGCAGACCAATCCAGGCAGACCAATCCAGGCAGACCAATCCAGGCAGACCCATCCAAGCAGGTCAATCCAAACCAACAACCCTAGCAGCGCAAAAATGTACGTACACGAACGGGCCACACTTCGTCAACGTCGCAAAGCATACGCAAACTGCAGGCGACCGCGCGAAAGAAATCTCCCTCTCCCGCGTCTGGACAAAAAAAAAAAAAAAATTCTGATCCAATTTTGTTAGGTGTACTTTAGCAGAAGTAAGAGTTCCTTCTCCGCCTGCGCGACTTCCTTCAAATTCAAGTTCTACGAAAAAAAGGGGAGAGCAAATAACGCAGTGAAAAAACCAAGTGGGAAAAGGGGACGCAGCTACGGACACTATTCACTTTTCTACTCCACCGCGGGGGGTTCATGTGTCCACATTTGGGCATCCTCACGTGGCAAATCTCAAATCGCAAATCCAACATCCCCTCTCTGTGGAGCCGTTAAGTTTTGGTGCCTCCTTTTTGGAAGGGCATTGGAAGAGATTGCATTATCTGTTCCTCCTCCTTCTTACCAAATCGTTCAGAAGCTGCGCCTCGAAGTACTTTTTCACAATCGCGTGATAATTGAAACACTTGTCCATGTAATTCTGCAGCGACTGCTTGTTGGAGGAGTTCTCGAAATTTCTGTAGAATTCTTTCGTGAAGTAAATAAAATCGTATGTCCATTTGTCTTCTGCTTCCAAGAGTTCCATCTTCCGTCTGATCTTCTCCTCTGGGGTCAGATTGCTCATCGATTGGATCAGTCGGTCTGCATGGGGCGGGGTGGAAATGCCCATTCGTGGGGGTGGTCACTCCACCGCTGGGATGATCAGTCCACTGCTGGGATGATGAGTCCACTGGTGGAAGAATTGGCCCACCGCGGGCTACGCACGGCACACTCACCTGATATGTAGGACAAATTCTCGTACAGCTCTTTGCACTTCTCGAGGAAGGCGGCGTGTTCTTCGCTCTCCCTCTTGTCCGCGTTCTCCTTCGCCCTGTTGAAGCTGCAGCATGGGGGGAGCAAGGTGGATGTGTGTACACAGGGGTGGAGAAAGGAGGATGTGTACACACGGATGGCGCGATCCGCGTTGCGAATTGTTCTAAGTTGTTTTTCTCTCTCATTCTTTCCGAGCAATTTTCGCATTTTTCCCACTTTTCGATCATTCTTTCTGAACGGTTCATATTTTTCTCTCATTTTCCGCTCATTTTTTTTTTTTTTCCTTTTGGCTAGCTACTCGAAGGGGAGCTCGCGCAACAGGCAGAGCAGGAGGATCGCGGCAAACGTGATGAGTATGACCAGTAGGGCCTTCCAAAAATGGTTGAAAAACCTAAACTTGTACATAACGAGAAGGTCCTGGTAGTAGTTCTCGTCCATTGGGGGGAAGAATTTCTCGATTTGAATTTCGACGACATTTCGGAAGGAAAACAAATCGAGCCACTCCTTCTGCTTGCTGGTCAGGACATTAACACGGTCGTCCCTCGAAACAACTGCAACGTTGTCGGAGAAGGGGGGCAGCGAAATCCTGACTATCAGCTGCTTTATAAAAAAGGACTTGATGGATGGGGCAATATCAATTTTGTATGCATAATAATTCTCCTTGTTTTTAATTCTGTACAGATTCGATTGATGATAAAAGGAATTAAAAAAGTGAGCTCTCCATCCACCGAGAAGGGGGTACCTGGGCCTTAAGTCAAACTGAATATGGCTGTTTCTCTTTTTAGGATCAAATATTTCTTCCGCTTGGATGAGATGTATTTTTCCCAAATCGTCGAAGTATTCATATTCATATATGTCGTAATTTATTTTCGATTTCATGGAGTAAATAATTGTGCTGGACTGATCGTCTGTCCCGTTGGCTGTCCCGTTGGTTGTCCCTGTCGCTGTCCCTTTGGCTATCCCTTTGGCTATCCCTTTGGCTATCCCTTTGGCTGTCCCTTTGGCTGTCCCTTTGGCTGTCCCTTTGGCTGACCCTTTGGCTATCCCTTTCTCTTTCCCCTTGGACGTGTGCCTACTTTCGTAATCACTAAGAGTGTACCGATCAAATGTGTGTATCCTTGCTGCGTCGTTGCGCAGGATGTATTCTTCCTGTTCGTACACAAAACCTAGTTGAGATACTTTTATGTCTTTGGTGACTCGCTCGAAGTAGCCTAGGTGGTTATTAGCGCGGAAGTAGAACAGGGCTTTGTGTCCGAGCGTGAACCGGCCCATTTCATTCCCCTTTGCAACGAACTCATTTAGATTGTTTCGGATGTCCTCCCCCCCCTGGGTAAGCTCCCCCACAGTTCTTCCTCCCCCCTTCTCACAAACATACGTGTCATCATTGACTTTAACGAAGCTCCGCAAAAAATCGCCATCCTCTATCCGCACGATGGCACAATTTTTGCATAAAAATATTTTTAACTCTTCCTTCTCTTCTACATCGTAGGGCAAGAGAATTTTGGAGGAAAGATAAAACATAACTTTCTGTCCTTCCTCTGGGGATATGTCACCAGGGAATGGAAAATAGGGCTGTCCAAGGGTGTAGCCAAAATGGAGTGAGACTTTTTCATCCTTGTGCAATCTCCTTTTTAGAGTCACCCTGTATGCCTTCATTTGGAATTGCTCCAAATCATAGTCTTCATTGAAGGGGTCCACTTCAATTTCGCTGGCGTCACGCCTCGGCTCCTGCAGCACTTGGTACCGCAGCTCGCTCTGGTTCTGGTCTCTCACCCGGAGGGTGCTGGCCTGTGGAGGGGGGCGGTGGAGCGGTGATGTGGCGGTGATGGGGCGTCGACGAAGCGGTGATGTCGCGGTGATGGGGCCTCCCCCTCGAGGGTACCTGAAATGCCTCGTGGTAGGGAAGCAAGAAGACAAAGCTGTCGACGCTCTTATCGCCCTTGTTCTTCAAGTCACCCCGGATGATCACTTCAACGTAGTTCCTTCTTAAATGCATATCCTTCGTAATCTGCTCATACACCATGTAGTCATCGTCACGCACGTATTTTGCAATTAACTCATTTTTATGAGCATCCAGAAATTCCATGTCTATGTTCACCAAGTTGGAAAAAAGGTTGCGGTTCAGCTTCCCCGCTGCACACCATGTGAGTATGGCTTTTAGGAAAACGCATCGTATAAGATTCATTTTGGGGGGCAAGTCCTCATAAGTGTGCTTGCGCTGCGGCCTTGGGGGTTAGCAGCACTTGGGAGGCAAGCATCCGCGCAGGAAGGAAATACGGAGTGACAAGATGGTGGTTCAACTCGCGGTGCGTGCAGAAGGAGCGTGGGGGGGAGGGGGGTTAGCGGGATTCGCCCTTCCCTACCCGAACTGTATAAGGGGCGCGTACTCTTCTTCCCACCGTACCACGTGCAGCGCATTACCTGTGTTGTTCTCTCCCCGGGCTGCTTTTTTATACCCATGTAAGTGTACAAACGTACATGTATATATATATGTGTGTGTTTTTTTTTTCCTTTCCCTGCTGCGCTATTTGTTGGCACCGGCGCCATAAGATCCTTTTCCTTCTAACGGGAGGGGGGAAAATCCCTTCATCGTCCCCTCGACTTTTCCGGTCGAAAAATGGATCGGAGAGTAGCTTGCAACGACGCTATGCTACCAGGGACAACAAGAACACAGTGCAGGAAAAGGTAAGCAGCCAGGAAGAAGAAACCGTCACAATGTTATGTATACACAGGGAGGGGGAAAAAAAAAGAGAGAGAGAGAATAAAAAAAAAATAACCCCTCCACCAAGTGACCTACGCATGTCCTATGCCCAACATGTTTTTTCAAACACAGAACCGTTCGATTGAGCCCCCTTTTGTGCAATTATAGGGAATACATGGAGGGTACCTTTTTCTTCCCACTGCCTTGACACATTTTTCCATTTCGCTGTTGACCATATGCTAGGGCGCTTGCACAGTGATAAAAATCCAGTGAAGAAATGAAGTAGGTGGATTTTGCTCTGTGCCTCAAATGGGGTGACCACATTGAGGTGTTGGTTTTTCTACTCCAGGGAAAAGCCTTTGCAATAAAATGACAAAATTTTGGTGTAGTATATTATACCCTTACCTCCGGGGGGGTGGAAACGCAGAGCGGTCGTACCCACATACGAATGGCTCCTCATAAGTGATGATGTTCCCTCTTCCCCTTGTCGATTACGACATGCAAGTGGATTTAATGTGGACGTCCTTTTCACGTTCTATTTTTTTTTTTTTTTTTTTTTTTTTTTTTTTTTTTTTTTTTGAGACGGAGTCTCGCTCTGTCGCCCAGGCTGGAGTGCAGTGGCGGTGCTAACTTTACTAATTGATGGGGAGAAAAAAAAAAAAAAAAAAAAAACGCTCAACCTTCTTTTCCCCGTTTCGACTACAACATTATTTTCACGTGGCCATACGCATGTCCGAAAAAACAAATTCAAATAAAAATCTTCCCAATGCAAAGCGTACAAAAAAAGTTACTTTTGTATATGCGCATTCCACCGATGCAGCGTGGATGACTCATCAAAGTATTACTTTACTCAATCGAGTAGAAAACACGTATAAACTGACACGCAGCGACCATTTTACAGCCATACGATTGCGAATTTGTTTGTGAGAAAGTGCTCCCCAGAAGAGGAAGCGACCCGAGCCAACTCCACAGCAGAAGCGAAATTGTGCTTATCGAGAGGCGTCTCGCCCGAAGTGGTAAATTGCCGCCGGTGACACGTTCGCGTTTCCGCGTCATCGCTTCACCCTTTCACCGCTCCACCGTATCACCACCCCACCGCTGCCCCGCTTCACCCCCTTCGCAGAAGGCCCGCGAAGCCGTTTGGAGAAAACCCACCTACCAGTTGTAAACCCGCGCGAAAGCGCCCCTCGTTCTACCGCTTCCTACGTTCAAGCGGGGCGTTTCCCCAGGAGACCACATCCCGCCCCTACCCCATCATCCTCTTCTTTACAAACACAATGACGTCGAACATCATAGACAAGATTATGAACCTGGAGGTCCCCGAAAATGGCAACTCCTCGCTGAACATTATTTTCGGAGTCGTCAATATTTTCTTCTTCGGAATTGGAATGATCATTCTGGGTATAATTAACAAAGATATCGATGACCTCATAATCGGCATTTTGCAGCTCCTCGTGCCCTTGATCGGGTGGATATGGGCCGTGTTCTGGGGAGTCCTAATCGTTATTAAGAATTCGAAGTGAGGAGTAACGAGTGAGATTGTCTGTCCCCTGCAGGGGTAAGCTTTGTAGAAGGGGGGACCCCTATCCGTCGAGTAACTCTTTCCCTAGGTGAGAAAAGAACCTCACCCCCTTTTTTTTCAAGCCATTTTTGATCCTACCGAGTGGGAAAATGCTCCACTTTCGTGTCACTTCATCTACGCTTTCCTCCCCCTCCTGTAAAATATTCCGTTTCGACTTCTCACCTGAGCGTTGCATGAGGGAGTTACGCCACCTGTTCACTCCCGTTGTGAGGCGAACCCCTTTTTAATTGCTTCGTTTTAACTGCCCTGTTTTAATTGCCACGTTTTAATTGTCCCGTTTTAATTGCCACGTTTTAATTGTCCCTTTTTTGTACGCCATTTAGTAGCCCCTTCTTGCTTGCATTCGAATGAACTTTTTTTTTTCCTTTTTTTGCAACCCCATTTTGAATTCTGCGATTCCCCTTTGATGTGTTTAAAATGACAAATTGCCAATTTTGGAGCGGCGAAAAGTTAGGAAGCTCCGGGGAGAGATGTCTCTCCTCCTTTGCAGTTCCTCTGAGGAGAGCCTTATGGCGAGGCGGATTTCCCTTTTGAGCGGCCAACCGAAAATCACGAATCGGCTGGGAAAGGAAACAAGGCAGAATGGAAACAAAGCAGGAATAAAACAAAGTAGAAATAAAACAAAGTAGAAATAAAACAAAGTAGAAATAAAACAAAGCAGACATAAGACAAAGCAGAAATAAGACAAAGCAGACATCAAACAAAGTAGAAATAAGACAAAGTAGAAATAAAACAAAACAGACACAAAAATAAAACAAAAATAATTTAGTCTTCCGTTTGGCAGGGTCCCCAAAGAAGTTTCCCTGCATGCAGTTTTTTTTTATTTTTTCTTCTTTTTTTGTTCTCCCCCTTGAAGGCACAGAACAACATTTTGCCTTAAAAAAAAAATACGAGATGGGGAAAAAAAGCGGCCTGGCGTGGCGAAGAGCAGACGCGCTGCGCTCCGACCCAACGAGAGGAGCATACATTTAAAAGGTGCATAGGAAAAATGGGGAAGTGTAAACTGGTCTGCGAAATGGAAGGTACGCACGGTGCGCAACACACATCGCGTGGTGGACTGACGAACAGACTTCTATACATTGAAGCGTCTCCAAATTTTGTGAAAAACTGCCTACCACTCTGAACCTCTTCAGTACATATATGCGAGTGACGACTTCCGTATGCGTTCCGCTGTTTCGTGACGCAAATATAGTCCAAGGGGGAGAGGGAAATCCTCTCTCCTAAGTCTTCCACCACAGGATGCTCAAGTTAGAATTCTTCTTGTTCTTTCCTGAGATCAAGTTGTTCTTTGTCTGCCTCGGATCTGTGTAGCGGAATGCTCCGTGTGAAGAGATGTAGGTCTTATTTGTCCCCCCTTGGTGGGTAGCTCCCAATGGTTTAGCATACGCATCGTTGCGGTTGCTCCCCTCCTGGTCATTTTTCGTCTTCTCTAGTAGTTGGTTCCTCCTTCCAGATGCATCCCCCATTGGATAGGCCACTTTTTTCTGTTCGTTGCATCTGATGAATACATTTTGAGCCCCATAATGATGGCCGTTTGGCAATTTATACGCTCTAACAGTGGGACCATTTGGGTTCGTCCCCTTGGCGACTGCGTAGTTATCGTGAGCACTGAACGGTCTTGGCGTGTACGCCTCCTCCTGGACTACGCCGCAGGGTACAACCGGTTCTGCAGGTGTTGCTGGAACTGCTTCTCCTCCTTTCACAGTGGGAGTGACACCCCCTGGAGTGACATTCCTTGGCCTTACGGCAGACATCGGCATATGGACAGACATCGGCACATGGGCAGACGTCAGCATATGGGAATCAACCTTGGATTGATGCAAGTGAACCAAGTGGGGAGACGAACGGAAAACTCTCTTCATCTCGTCCCCTTTTAAATTCAAACATGAGTTAGTATTTTGTTTTTTCTTCCGTTGGCCTTCCTGCAGATACGTCTCAGTGCCCTGTTCTATTTGGGACCACCACATGGAAGGGCTTTCTTCCACCTTTGGGTTAATCTGGAGAGTGCTCTTCTCAGCATTCCTTTGAATTTGACCGTTCAAGTTCAGGCGTTTCATCTTCTCTTTGGCATGGGACATCCCCTCCTGGTTTATATTCCCATGTGGGTCGACTCTGCTACCGTTGCTGCATCTTTCACCTCCCATTTGGTGTTGTGTAAAATTGGTGGATTCCTTTTGGCTGTACTTTTCTCTTTGTGTTGCCTCTTTTGCGTTTCCATGAGTTGGACTTTTCCCCCCGTTTCTGTTTTCACCTGCGACATTCGCGTCAGTTCTATTTGCCATCATTGGGGCCGTCTCCATGAGGGTTGTTGGCTCCCCTTTCGATGCATCCACTATTCGTCTGCACAGCCTCAGCCCCTGTGACAGCTTCCCATTCGGCCGGGACTCACGTCGTGGGAGCCCCTCATCACCCGGGTGGTCACAATACGAAGACATACATGCAACCCGCTTGGTGGAAACTCTTTCCCCTTGCATTAACCCCTCGGGGAGGACACCTTTCTGATGGATCTTTACATCGTCCCGTTCTTCAATGTTTACCTTATCTGCGTAAGGTGTGTCGCCCACTGCGTTTCTCCTCGAAAGGGATTCTACGTCCCGTTGTCTGGCAGGTTTAGGAGAACCCATTTGCGATGGACCCGTTGAGGCATAACTGTGCGTTATCTTCCCTCCAATGGGAACATCCTTTCTCCGCCCCGTGCACGATCCATCTGCAGTTTCCACCCCGCTTTTCTTCGCATTCGATGGAGAGGAGCCTCTGACACCATGCCTCGTTTCACCATCGTTCCCATTGCGGTGGAAATCATATGTGTCCTTCCAACTTACATCCATGCTGCGTGTCCCCAAGGAATGATTGCTCCTTCCATTTTTCGATTCGCAGTGGCTAAAGTGTGCCACCCTCCTCGCATCATAGACGTTACTGTCCCCCCTCGGGGATGTCACTTCAGATGGAACTTCCACCCCACTGCCGCTAACTGATTGGTGGCAAATGACATTCTTCAGGCCGTTCTCCCCACTGTGGAAATGAAGTTCTTTCCCTTTTTCATTCACATGATGAGTGTATCTGCACGTCGTCATCTGGCCGAGGAAGCTCCTTGATTCTAATGGGGGCACGTCCTGCGGTTCCCCTGGGGACACTTTTTTATATAATTTTTTCTGTTTCACCTCTTTTTCTTTCTCTTCTTCGAGTGTCTTCTTCATCCTGTTAGCATCGACGTGGTTTCCGCTCATTTCTCTCCCCTTCTGCAGAATGCCCTCCACTTTTTTCATATCCCTTTCTGCCTCTACCTTTCGGTTCATTTTCTCCAGTTTGCCTTTCAGGCCCTTTTTAAAAAAGAACACATAAGTTTTTCGCTTCTCCAGGTAGCTGTCTTTTTTTCCTGCACTGGAGTAGACAGCGCTTCCCTGTTGAGCAGCCCTCACGCTCTTCCCTTCGGGAAGCTTGACTTTGTTAGGTGTCACCCCGTTTGGGTACTTTTCTCTGTCTCCCCCCACGTGAGCACCCCCTCGTTTGGCTACCCCGTCTTTCGTTTTCCTACTTTCATTCTTCTTCGTTTGCTTCATCCCCTCCTTTGCGTTATCTCCCCTTTGACTACCCACTACAGTCCTACACAGGGAACTCTTCTGCTTTATCACATTGGTCCCCCCCCTTTCCCCGTGTGCGCTTACTCTGTTCGGTTGGATACCTTTGGAGCTTCCCTTCTTCACGCTGTCCCGTTTGGGTACTCTTGCAGGGATGTTCCCCCCCATTTCAGCCAAAAATTTATTCAGTACTAACTCATCACTCGAGATTCTGGTACTTCCATCTGCTTTCCTTCTTATCCCCGCTGATGTCTCTTCCGGGCACTTCTTCACATTGATCTTTAGCTGTCTGGGGGTTACCACCATACGAGGGTCTCCCCTCAAAGATGACTTGTCCTTCTCGTAGTCCTTCTCCAAAGGGATGTCCACCGTCATAGTGCTTCTTCCCTTTACCCGCTCGGGAGTCTGTTCACCGACGCTGCTTCTATAATGTGAAGGGGACTCCTTTGCTCCTAAGCAGGGTAGGAGCACTTCTCGGCAGCCTTGCATCTTTTCCCCTGCACTGTGTTTGTCCATTTCACCTCTCTTCCAAACAGGGGGAAAATTGCCATTCAACAAATCCTTCTGCTCCCTTTGAGCCGCTATGTGCACTTCGTCTGGGGTAGCTAATCTGTGGTTCACATGGGTCTCTCCTCCATTTGCATAAAGCCCTATGGTGTTGAAGCCTTGGAGGGGGCGGTGCCTGTCTATGGTGTTCGGCTCCTCCGTGGATGATTCACCACCTCGGTGCGATTCTACCAGAGTGCTTCTTTGCTTGTCCTTAAATTCTTTATCCACATGGTTCCGCTCCTCTGCAGAGGTTCTGTCCATCTGGTTGTGGTTCCTTCGAGCTTTCGTTTCTGCAGGTTTGTCGTTCCATTTGGCTATCTGGTTGGCGAGCACTCCCTCGACACTGCCACGGACGCCGCCATGGATGCTACCACAGATGCCATCGCTCGCGTTTGCCTCACCTTTCAGTCTAATCCTTCCATCCGTGCCCCTCGAGGTGGGGCGCACCTCCATGCCCCTTACGCCCCCCTTGGAGAGATACTCCCCATCGCACCTTGGCTTCACCGAGCGTGCCCCTACACCTTCGCGACTCTTCCCATCAGTTGTCGCGTCAGAAATGGTGTGTCTCTTCCCCACGACACGGAGCGCATGCACGGTGGTCCTGGTGTAAGGCAGATGCAGTGGAGTGCTCTTCCCCCCTGGTGATTTTCCACTGTGGATTTTGCCGCCGATATTGCCGCCTCCTGCCAGACTCAGCTCCGATATGGTGTGCCGCTTCGATAAACACTTCTTCCCGTCATAGGACATCTTCGCCTTCGTTTTTGGCGCCCCCTTCCTACTCGTGCAGTCGACAATGGAGCCCATGTCGTTCGGTTCATCCCTGCCTTTTCGGTGAAGGGCTTCTGTGTGTCTGCCCAAGGGGTGAGGCGTGGCGATGCTGGCGATCCTGGTAGTGACAATCCGGGTAGTGGCGATCCCTGGAGTGGAGATCCCCTTATTGACAATCCCCTTTGTGGAGATCCCCTTATTGACAATCCCCTTTGTGGAGATCCCCTTCGTAGCGATCCCACTTTTGGGGGTGTTCCCTTTTGCAGGTCCACTCTTACTGCTCCTTAACCCTTCACTGAGGACACATTTCTGAAGCATCACAATTTTGCTCTTCCTTTTTTCTGGGTTTACAGAAAAGTACACTTTCTTCTTCATTTTGTTAGCGGCCTTTTTTTTTCTCATTTGGGACTTGCAAGGACTGTTTCTTCTTTTCGTGGAGATCCCAGATACTGTTGCACGTTTCTTCATCGTGTCTTTTTCCATCATAAGCTCTCCGACCCGTTGTGTTTTCTTGCCACTCACTGAGTTTTTACACGCTGTCTTAGTCTTAATTTCTTGGTTCCCCTTTTCTGTCCTATTCGAATGGCTCCATGTGTTGTTCGGGGGCATCTTCACTGCGTTGCCCTCTTGCCATTGGGGGGACCATCCCGGTTGGCCTTCCACATCTGACATGGATTCATACTGCTCCTTCGACGTGCAACTCGAACCGTTTCTAACTTTCTCCTTTCCAGATGGCGGAGAGGCCCCCTTGCGGCCTAGCTTCCCCCCCTCGGATGCGCAGGAAGACCCCGCCTGTAACCGCACAACATCGAGATCTACGTATGGATGAACGTCCAGCTCTACATATGGCACCTCGTCTAATTCTACGCATGACTTCACGATAGGTCCTACGTCTGATCGGACGCCTAAACCGACTCTCGATCCCACGCCCGATTCGACGCCTAATCCTACGTCTACCCCTCTGTGCAACTCCCTTTGCAGCTCCACTTCTAGCTCTCTCTCGAGTTGTCGCTCCTCCTCCCTGATCTCCCTCTCCAGCTCGTGTTCCAGTTCGTACTCCAGTGCGTCTTTGAAATCTTCCTCTTCGTCGTGGGGGTCACCGTTCGGAAGCTTACCGGAGGGAAGTCCATGATTCATCACCTTATTGGACATCATCTCGCCGCACACCATCTCACTACGCACCATCTCATCGCACGTGGCCGCCTCGCCCCCCTGCAGGGTGCACTTCCTATCCTTGGATCCACCCTGCGTGGGGCACTCCCTTTTCATATTCGCCCCGGCCATTTCTAAGTCAACCTCGGACAAGCACGACGACATAGTTGTGATTAAATTGTCCGACGTGCTTCCCTTCCCCTGATCTATGGAAAAGGACGCGCTCCTACTCACAATGGTGCACATCTGCCCTGATTCCCCCTCGCTACATCTTCCTAACGAGTTAGAATCCGTTTTATTTCGTTCTTCACACTTGTTCTGGGATGCGCACCGTTTGAGCGATTCAACATGGGTAGTTACTACATCAGAATAGTTGCCCTCGCACGATGATGACCAATTGGAATGCAAACACGATGGGGAAGTCAGTCTGGGAGATTCCATTTCGTCTTTTATATGGGCGTAGGATGAATCATCTCTGTGGGGAAGTAACTCTCCGTTGTTAATTTCTTCATCCGGTGGAGTCCCTTTTACCTTTTCTTTCGACTCACCTAGAGGAGGATGTTCATCTGTGTGACTTCCTGGACTTACGCTTGGTGTACGTTCCTCACGGTAAAAATTTTCATTGCAAGGAGTGAAGACACCCTTTGGAGAAAAGTCATTCCAGAAGACTTCTCTTCCGCCTAGACTGCACCACCTTTTTACTCTCCTGCAGGGATCTCCACCGTTGTGTGCTCCATTTGCAGGAGCTTCCTTACCCCTTTGGAACATCTCCCCCAAGTCAACTCCTCTGTAAGGTGCCTTCCTCTCTGCGATTATCACTTCATTTAAATGGAAAAAATCGTTGCCATTTCCTCCGTTTGGATTATAACTGGTGGTGTTTCTTGTTCCTTCATTTTTTTCATTTTTTTCTTTCTTTTCATTTTTTTCATTCGAATTGTTTGTCTCCATCCGATCTGTTCTCTGTGGAATATCCCCTCCTGTTACAACTGTGACGTCGTGTAGTGGGCTTGTATTGATGGGGGAGACAACTCCTTCCAGTTCAGCTGTGCATGTCTCTTCTTCTTTTGTAAATCCTCCCATGTGGACGTCTCCCCACCTTTCGCCTAGTTTCACCTCCAATGATGTCTCACCGTGAGGAGGTGCCATTTCTGCCCCTTCGTCGATGTATTCTCTCTTGTTAGTGTCCCTCTGTTGAATGTTAAGTGATCCATTTTGACACCCACCTCTCTGCATCATTCGCAGCATCATGTCCTCTTTGTCTCTTTCCCATCTACTGACTCTTTTTCTAATCATATTTCTGTTCCACTCTAGAGGGGTGTATCTCCTCGAGATATTTCCCCAACCAGTGTGTCCCTCCTCCACATGGAAGAAGGACCCTTCGTTGAAAGGTCCAATCGGATAATCAACCTTCTTGCTAGCCGTTCCATTCTTTGGTAGTCCTTCTCCATTGGGTAATTTTTTCCTCTCCGAGAAGATGCTCAGGAGGCCACTCCCCTTAGTGACCTCTTCAGTTCTTAACGTGTGATGAGGACTTTTCTGCACCGTGTTAGGTGTATCATGTTGTGCCCCGGTGTGTAACGCTTGGCTAGCCATCAGGTGAAAGCTACTTCCTGCGCTTTCAAGGAGGGGATTATCACCTCTTTGTGGTTCTCCCGCTGCTTCCTCCGCTGCTTCTCCCCCATCGGAACTTAGTCTCCGTTTCTTCCTTTTCATTCCGATCATTATGTATGTACCTTCCTTATGGCTCATCAGAAAGTTACATTTGGACTTCTCCCTAAGTGCACTGCAACTTGGTGGTGAGTTATGGACGATGCTTTGTTTGTCTCCCTCTGTCCAGTTTGTGTAACATGTCTGGTTAGAGGCGGAGTCGTTATGCTTCTTCATCCATTCTGATATCTCTACCGGCGGGGGTGATTTCCTCACAAGGCCAGGCTTCTTCGCATAAATGTTTTGTGCGTAAGGATAGACAGCACCCTCGGCCAGATTGCCGCCAAGATAATCTGTGGGGCTGGGGGGTAACACCTCCTTCGGGTGGCTGCCCACGTACGGGTAACTGCTTACATGCGGGGGGATCCTCCTGCAGCTGCTGTTAATGTCTGTCCATGTGGGAGTGGCCCTGCTGGCCTTGTCGTCAGCGCGCTTCCCCTGGATGTTGCCAAACCGATGGGACGACTTCTCCCCCATGAGGAGGCCATCCTCCGCATGGGGTTCACCCTCTGGAGGGTATTCCCTCCTGTGTGTACTGTTCAAACCAAGGGAGGGGCTGTTACCCCCGCTGATGTAGGCCTTGGGGGGGAGAGCGACAGAAGGAGGAGAGGGAACAATCACATGCTCGTAGATGCTGAATCTGATGGAGGAGTTCTGATTTATAGTTACATTCTTCCTTCTTGCGCATTGTTCGATTTCTTTGGAAAGTTTGAAGACGGCCGAGGAGGGGTCTCCGGAGCAGCAGTCTCTAGAAGCGGCTTCTCTCATGGGAGCCCTCCCCTCATCCACCCCATCGTCCCAATGAAGCGGAAACAAACTCCGGTTGTGCACAGGAAAGAAGTTTCCCCTAAACCAGGGGTGCCTGAGCGCCTCCCCAATTTCAAGTCTCATTCTAAAATTCGGTTCCAAGCACCGAAATATGAAGTCTATGGCGGCATCTGACAAGTGCAATCCCTTCTTCTCCCTCAACAGCTCATGGTAGTGTCTGCTCTTTAGCATATTCCAGTGCATGTCCTTGGCTAAGGTACATCTGAATAGCTCCTGCTTTGTTAAGCAAAAGTATAAGATGTAGCCAACACAAAATATATCTATCCTTGTCGGATCATATTTGCATTTCTCATATACCTCTGGGGGCCGGAAGATTTTTCCAAATATCTTGGTATACTCTAAGAGGGTAACTTCATTTTTCTTGTTGACAGTGAAGTAGGTTGCCTGTCCAGGGTCATTGAGAACAGGGTAAATCAATCCGTTGTGTTCATTTTCAAACAAAAGGACATTCTCTAGAGAAATGTCTCTGAGGGCTAATCTCCTACAATGTAGAAACTTAACTGACAATAGGATTTGATAGAAGAGATACTTGGCTTCTTCCTCTGTGAAGGGTCTACTTCGACTCTTCATCACTTCGAATAAATCACCATGTACTGCAAAGGGCATAATCATATATACATAATAATCGTCATCAAAGATGGTATCGCAGCTGAGGATGTTACTGTGTCCACTCATACAATTTCGGTAGTGATACTCTGAGAGCGGATCCTCCTGAACCTTATCCTTTGCTAACTCGATTAGATGCTTGGACAAAATTTTTATGGCCTTCTTCTTCACGGAAGCTTCCTCCCCTGGCTGCATCACCTCCGCGGATTGTACCACCTGCGCGAGGTACACCCCTCCGTAGATGGCCGTCTGTAGCACGTTCAGCAGCTTGTACGTGGTTCCTTGAAAGGTGACTGTCCTTCCGGCGAGTTGGTGCGACAGGGCGGTGAACTGCAGGGGGGAAGGGGCAGTTGGTGAAGAGAAAAATAGGAAGATTTGCCCCTCATTTGGAGGGAGAGAAAAATAGGAAGGGTATCCGCCCCTATGCAGGGGAAAGTGACCCATCGTTGCTTCCACATACGCATATCATATACTCGCTCTCCCCCTTACGTATTTCATCCGCTGCTGCTTGGTGAGCTGATCGAGCTCCTGGTCCCGCATCGGCTTGGTGCTCCTGTACTGGTAAACGAAGGTTCTCTGGTTTCTGGACATGACACCCCTCGGGTTGATATCCAGATAGAAGGACGAATCGGGGTCGGTCTCCCCATCGGCATGTGTAACGTCTAACTTTAGTTTCAACTCAACGCGGATGCTGTGTACATCGGGGGTTCTATGTACATCCGGGGTTCTGTTTACATCCGTGGTTCTGTGTACATCCGTGGTTCTGTTTAGATGCGGTGTTCTGTTAAAAGGGGGGAAGTCCACGTAGTCCTCGCGGTCGAACAGGTGATGTGGGGGGGTAGCCCCCTTCCTGCTGCCGCCTTCTTCACCATGATGCTTGTAAATCTTGTGCATGTTCTGTATCAGCTCTTTCTCGATGTGTATACAATTGTGGGCGTTCCTGTCTGGATCAGGGGTTAGGAAGCTGCGTATCTTCGTCTTCAGATGCATGATTCAGGGGGGATTGTGGTGAGGCACTTGGCCTACTTGTCCAATTCAGCGGTCTCTTAAGATGTACTATTCGGGGGCGACTCGAGGTGCACATGTGGGGGTCACTTCCCGTTAACAATTATGGGTCTGTCTCGAAGAGGACAGGTACGGGGGGCTGGCTTACCACGGCGGACAAAACTGTGGAGGCCTCCTCCCCGTTACCAATCTGAGCAAGACCCGTCTATTCATGCGAATTTTTTTTTTTTTTTTTACAAACTAGGGGGAAAACCTATCGCTCATGTGTATTCACGAATGTGAGCACAGTCTTCCCCACAAAGTAGACTCTTCCCACGGTTATTTGTAGGAAAAAAAAAACAGATTTATAAGAAAAAAAAAAAAAAATCAGGGGAATAAAACACATGGGGAAACAAAACTTGGCGCCATTGGGAGGGGGCGTTGTGCCTGGTATCTGTTTGGGGTTTATGACCCGAGGTTGCACAATATACGGAGTTGAGTTTTTCAGGCATGGGGGTGAGTTTCTGTGACTGGTTGCGTTGATGTGTACAGGTTACTACGCGTAGGGATGTATATGCCTGGCGGTATGTACGTACGTATCTGTGTGCACCGGTATGCGCTGGAAGGGCGGCTCGCTCGACCGCTTAAGTGTGCGCTCTTTAAAAATAGAGGGCCGCGCGCGCCGCCTAGTTCAACAAGCCTCACAGGGAAGGAGGGGGCGCATGGAGTACAAGGAGGTCCAGCGCTCTGGTATGCACATACCGGCGCCGGTTTCTCACGCGAGCTTCAAAACCGTTTGTCTTAGCTCCTTAATCTATCGAAAAATCTGCGTAGTCGCAGAAAGTGTAGCAAAAACCGCGCTGTTACAAAAAATATGTGTAGCAAAAATCACGTTGCTATTAACATCATTGTGTTTTCCTCTTACGTTTTTCGTAAACTAAAGACTTGCTCACTTTTTTTTTCCTTTTCTGGTACAATTAATAAAAAAAAAAGAAAAGAAAAAAAAAAAAAAAAAAAAAATTTTTCCTGTTCCCCCTTTTTTTTTTTCATCACTTTTGGGGTACACACATTCTACAACATTAGCAGGAGTATTTCTTCCTCTTAAAAAAAAAAAAAAATCAACAGGATTTCAATTTTTTTTTTTTTTTAGCTTAATGTAGAACGAGTCTTTTAATTTCATTTCCTTCTAGCTTTCCTTGTGGTTTTATCCTTAAGTTTTTTTTTTTTTTTTCTTCCTACTGGGCTCTACCCGTGCGGAAGCTCCTTGGGGGTCGCATACGGCCAAATTCTCGGGTACCTGCCCAGGCTGCACGGACTGTACGCGTTTTGTATGCGCTTGTTCGTGCATGTGCATCAGCCTACGTGGCAAGAAACATCGCTCTATAAATTGCCTCCCCTTGCAGTTCCTCCAACATGCACAAGCATATGTGCTGTATAGGTACCGCGAAAGTGAAGCATACCTGCTGCGAATGCGCATTACATCCAAGGCGGTATGGCAAGCAGGTGCAAAAAAAAACACCTCTTCTCCCAGTATAGAATAAAAAGGCATAAGCTGCTTCCCCTTTTGTAGTACTTGCTGGCCCGCGCATCCACGTGCCAATTTAGTGCACGTACGTACGTACATGTGCATGGCCAGGAATTGTACGTCCCTGTGTGCACGCAGGCACTTGTCTTTTTGTACTTGAAGTGGCAGTTTCTTTTGAAGAGGCAATTTATTTCTGGAAAGGGAAGCACACGAGGGGCTGGGCGTCAGCCGAGCGCGGAAAAGAGGGATTTAAAAGAAAAAAGAAAAAAAAAAACTGAGCCTGAATCTGAACTTGAATAGTGGGAGGTTCCTCCCATCGTCGACGTCGCTGTTCCCATTCTCCAGTGAATTTTTTTTTTCTTTTCAAACACATGGGCAATTTCTAACCACGGGGGGTTCCCCTCGGCGATGTCGCAGGAGAAGCTTCATTTGGGAGGGGTTCCTTTTCCTTCACCATTTTTAGTTTTTCTTTTTTCCTTTTTCCGTTTTTTTTTTTCCTTATTTTTTCTTTTTTTCCTCCTCCCAGTTAAGCCAACGCTATACGCGCTTCTTACCAACGTTCGAGCAACCTGATAGGTGTACATGCCTGCCCAGGTGAAAAATCACCTGCAGCTTTACCCTGTCATTTCTGTTTACCCTGGGCAACACGCAGTGGAGTTACTCCCAGGTTCGAAAGAAGCCAAGGGGTGAAGGAAAAAAAAAAAAAAAAAATATAGGGGTCAAAAAGGGGAAAAGAAGTATATCCCCTGAAGGCCATACATTACTTGTACACCCATGTGCAGAAGCTTCATTATATACACCTCTTCTGCCATGGGTGGACAAAATTATTGCGCGAAGAAGAAGGGCTGTACGCTTTACATTTACAACTGCCTTCAAATGTGTAGTTAGCGACGAAGTACGACGTCCCCCCTCCCTGAGCCTCTTCACCGACGTACAAAAAAAGAGGAAGTTCTGCGTCTGCCGTATAGCGCCTGTCGTGTACCTTCCTGCAGGAAATGCAACAGGTTGTTTTTTTTTTGTTCTTTTTAACTGCCCATGGGGCAGGCTTATCACACCATTTCAGTCAAGCAGCACCTAAGCAAGCTTTCAGGTGAATGTTTTTTTTTTTTTCTTTTTTTTGCCATCTTTAACATGTTTGTTGCACGGATTGGCAATCAGTTGGTAATTTTCCGTGGTCCTCCCTCTTTTCCCAGTTTGCGGAAACCAAATGGAGGTGATCGACCTAGAGGGAAAGCAATATTTTAATGATACAAGTTGTGTGCGTGAAAAAAAAAAAAAACAATAAAGGCGCTCCCTGCACGCTCCCGAAGGGTGTTTTTTTTTTATCCCTTGGAAACACATATCCACCAGGCGATGAGGAAACCTCTTTTGGGTCACAACCCCCTTCCGCTGCAACTCCTCATGTTACAACCCACCACTTGGCACTATTCACTCCTGTGCGGTAACATCCACATCCCCCCCTCCTGCATGCGCGAAAGGAATGCGGCAATATTGACCCTTCCCGAAAGGCTTACTTTCCATGCTGTGAATTAAGCACTGCTACAACTGCCTATCGAGGAGGGGAAGGCTCTTATCTGTTCATGCAACACGGTGGGCTTCCCCAATTTTGAGAAAAATCATCTTCTCCAGTGGAAGTACACAAATCGTCACCTTATCGGCAACGCCATTTTGACAATCCTCCCTTTCCAATGCTCCCTGCATGCACGTTCGGAAATGGAACTAAACCATACCAGTCAATTTTGTATTAGCCTACTGGGTTTCCATTTCATGGTGGTTATCTTTCCTAACCCCCGAAAGGAGATGTTCCCTTTCTTTTCCCCTCTTTGGAAGTTCACATATAGCCCATCAAGCGTGGTTCCAAAACGTTCTTACGATGAGGGTATCCCCACTTTGGGAGGGAAGTTAACACGCCTATGCTTCCGTGGCTTCCTCCCGCGAATATCCTTTTAGCGCGTCACCACTTCTCATTTTGCAAACAAGTTGTAAAGAAAAAAAAAAAAAGGGGGCATGCATGACCGAAGGAGATCCACATAAGTGTGCACCCCATTACATGGGGGCAAAGACTCATATGGTCACACGCGAGTATGCATGGAGGTATGACAAGTTTTCTTTCCAAGTGGAAGGGGTCGCGGAAAACAAAATACACTCGTGCGAATGAGCCACGATTGAACTTTAGGAAACATAACGAGGGAAACCATAGGACATGCCAAGGAACATGCTCACATGGGTGCCATCTGCCTAAAATTGATCACCCAAAAAATGGGGAAAAACTAGCCGAGCGGATTAAAAAAAAAAACAAAAAAACAAAAAAATGGCTAGCTCGGTGGAAAATAGGGAAATGACACGGTGGAGTGGCATTCAGAGCATGTAAAGGGAATTTTCCACCGGAAGGCCATAAGGACACGTCGGCATGGTGTAAGCAAGATCGCCAAAAATGTGCCAGACGTGAAATGTTGTATGGGGTACATGAGCCATTAAGCTGTTCCTTTGTATGTACTTCTTTCCGGGTTGTTCTTTTGTTTGCCCTTTTTTTTTTTTTTTTGCGTCAATTTAAGCCGCGTGGAGTGTGCGGGAGCGTCATCATTTTGGCGTAACGATCTAATCGTCTAGGGTGTAAGAAATGTGAAACACCTTTGCAAAAAAGAAAGAAAAAAAAGAAACGAAAAGAAGCGGAAAGAAGTGGAAAGAAGCGGAAAGAAGTGGAAAGAAACGGAAAGAAACGAAAAGAAGCGGAAAGAAGCGGAAAGAAGTGGAAAGAAACGGAAAGAAACGAAAAGAAGCGGAAAGAAACGGAAAGAAACGGAAAGAAACGGAAAGAAGTCGAAAGAAACAGACAACGTAAAAACAAATGCAGCTAGTTTGGTGCAAAAATGAGCGACTGTATGAAAAAGGCCATTTGCATTTCTACCACTTCCGCCACTTCAGCCACTTCGCTGAATGAACAAAGTCTGCTTCAATTTTATAGAAGATATAAATCCTGCGTGGTTACCCCTTCGCGTGTCGCACAGTAACTGTTGCATTCTTTTGCGGCCGTAGAGGCATCACACATATGGGGCGCGAATACGCGTTGTCAACCGCTTCATGCGTCGTGCGGTAGCCCTGTTCGGCGGAAAAGGGGAAGTGCCAGGAACATTTGAAGAAGCTGCCACATGGGGGGTATGGAAATATATGTACATATATATGAAGTATACATGTATTTGTACCCCCAAGTGTGAAGTCCCATTTTTGCATGTACATAGCAGTAGTGTGCTTAAGCAGACGCGGGCAAATGCGATTTCACGAGGGGGGGAAGTATTATATGCCTCTTAAACACATACATGCATACATACACTACGGGTACACTACACGACTGATTTAAAAAAAAAAAAAAAAAGGCCATCTATTCGTGTACAAAACTGTTGGCGCATTTTTGCATCCTGCCCCCCTTGCGATTGTTACGCACTTCTTCCTTCTGCTAGGTTCATTTGGTTATTCACCCGTGCGTTTCGCGCGGAGGCAAATGTGCCATACGAATGTGGCTTCTTGTGGAGCGCTCCCTTTTCGCCGCAGCGTGGTGTATATGCTTCCCGCCTCGCCCCTTTCTTCCCAGTGGAATTAATCTCGCCCCCCTACATACACCTCTGGATTTACTACACCACTTCACCCCAGGTAGGGGCGTTATGTATGCAATCATTTGGCGTGATTAATTACACGCACGTAGTGATTTCGGCCCATGTGCTACTTCCACACAGTCACTTGTTTCGTTTTGCTTGAATTCGTTTTGCTTCACCTCGCTTCGCTTCCTTTTGTTTTGTTTTGTCGTTGTGCATATGTTATGTGCTCCATTAATGTTGCCCCCTTTTACGAAAATCCTTCCGGAGCGCGTGCAGTATTGTTCCCGAAGGGTACATCTGTACATTTGTTCATAGGCTTAGCTGCTTAGCTGCCTACCTACTCACTTCATCGATGCTTCGACAGATCAGTTCGTGACTATATTCGCGCCACGCAGATGTATCCCCCGAGCGTGTTCGCTTTGTAGGGAATACTGTGATGGGGCCGCCACAGGGGGGAGAGTCCATCGTGAGTGCACACGTGTACCTTTGCGTGGAAGCCAACGCGCATATAAGTATGGTGCGGGTATGACCGTAAAAGTGCCTTACTCTGCCGCTTCCCCCACGCCGCTGCTTCGGTGCCCCTTCCCCAGGAAATATACCCGATCTGCATAGCGAAGAGGAGCATCGGTGTAGAGGGTACTGAAGGGGAGGAGTACACTCCGAAAAAGCGCTGCTTTTTTGTCTGCCTACACGTACCTGCACTCGAACCTCCACCCCTACTCGCTTCTGACTATGCAGTCGGTGTGAATGTTGCAAGGGAGGGGCTTGAAAGGAAGCGAGCGTGGTATGGAAGCTGGCGGGTGCACGCGTGACTGTGTTGCGGATCGGGTGTGTGTTGGCCCGGCATTGTGTCAACGCTGCTAACTGTTAAGACTGCCCCTTTTTAACGCTGCTAACCGTTAAGACCTCCCCCTTTTAACGGCGCTTCACTAACCGCGCGTGTCCCTCCTCGAGGGAGCGCGCCCCCCGCACCCACACACACGTCGGTCACCCGCGCGAAGATTCATGTGCACGCAACCCACTGCGATTTGGGTCCCCCCATGAGTCCCCGTTTTCTGTTTGCCGCGAGTGTAACAGGTGTAACGCGCGTACAAGAGCAACGAGCGCATGTGATGAAAGAGTGTATGCCATCAAGGAGCGTATGCGAGCAGCTACCCTGACGATCTGCATCGAGTGACGGTTTTCCCCGTTGGTACGCTACGCCACACACGTCGCATCCTGCTTGGGAGACACACATCTGGTCCATTCTGGCTTTCACAGTTTTCTTTTTTAACCGCGGTTGCCTCCTCCGCGCAGCTGTTTCCCCTGTAAATGCCTCATTCGCACATCTCCTCCCCTCGTAACTGTCTTCTCCGCGCTACATCATGGGGAGCAACAGCCTGGCGATGTCGCAGCAGATGTACTTCAGCACACACAATGCCCTTCGAGTAAATGACGAAAACGATGTGATCAGCACCCTGTTTTATGAAATAAACGGGAACAGGCACATCAGCCTGCTTATATTCCCCTTCTACGACGTGCAAATGTTGAAGCGACTCCTGATAAAGAAGTTAAATCTACCCAGAGATGTCAAGGTAAATGACATCCTAATATTTTACAAGGGAATCAAATTGCCAAACTATAGAATCATAAGTACCTATCTGGAAAGTACAAGTCGAAATGAAAAAAAAAAAAAAAAAAAAAAAAAAAAAAAAGGTTAAATTGGGCCATAAAGGATACAAACCCTAATGCATCCATAAGAGTCATAGATCAAAAGAGTTACCCTCCTTTCTTTGAAAATATTCTACACGATATAAAATTAGCTTTTAAAAAAAACATTTCTCCTAAGCTAACTATGGATGGGACAGGAGGAACCTACCTTCTATTCAACAGCAAGAAGAAGGTATGCTCTGTTTTTAAGCCTTTGGATGAAGAAGCATTTGCCCCATTTAACCCTAGAGGGTATGAAGGGAAAATGTATCAGGAAGGATTTCGGTCTGGAGTTCTATCTGGAGAAGGAGCCAGCAGAGAGATTGCTGCCTACATACTTGACAACAGCTACAACAATTTTAGTAGCGTTCCCTGTACCATCATGGTAGAAGCTTGCAATCCAAACTTTAACAATAAGAGCAAGCTCAAATATGTCGACCACGAGAATAATATGAAGTGGAAATGTGGGTCGTTACAAGAATTCGTCGATTCCAGAGAGAGCGTCGGAAACTACGACTACAAACAGTTTAGCATTAGGGACATTCACAAGATTGCCATTTTGGACATACGGGTGATGAACTTGGATCGGAACGATGGCAACATTTTGGTGTCCCCTTTGAAGAGCCTAAAGGATTCGTGCAACCAGTTTCTTTATCGGAACAACCGCAGCCTGGGCACGAGTGATGAGGACATGCTCAAGCGGATCGTCACGATTGATAAGAAGCCATCCAGGTGCGCGCGAAGCATTTGTTTGCCGCGTCTGTTTGGCGCGGCTATTTGGTGTGTCTATTTGGTGTGCCTATTCGGCGCCTCTATTTGGAGCGTCCATTTCCACCGCGTCACATTTCCGCGTCTATCCGGCGCGTCTACTTCCCACCGCAGGTACAGCCTCATCCCCATAGACCACGGACTCATCATGCCGCACATAATGGACGTGGCGGAAATTGACTTGGTTTGGTTTGACTGGCCCCAGACAAAGGTGAGCCCATGGGGGAGACATAGACGTGTTCCCGCTTCGTCACAACGTGTTACGCGGGTGCGTGCGGGTCAAGCGTATAGGGCGCAGGTGATTGCTTGGACCCGATTCGTGTTGCTCCATCACGACGATTCACCACGCCGCGTAATTATGAAGTTTGATATCGCCTCGTAACTACGAAGCTTCACATCACCGCGTAGAAACTAAGCTTCACATCGCCTACCCACCTCGCCGCTTAACCTGATAGGTCCCCTTCGACGACGAGGTGCTGGAGGTCATCTTCACATTCGACCCAGACAAGGACGCAGAGAAAATCCGTAACAAGCTCCTCATCCGAGAAGACTGCATACGAACCATGCGCGTGTGCACTCGGCTGCTGCAGATCGGAGCCAGGATGCACCTGAATTTGCATGAAATCGCCAAAATCAGCACGAGGAAGAGCATCGACGAGGAGTCCGTGCTGGAGCATCTCGTGCGGGACTCCATCGTGCAGGTGGGCGAGGAGCGATTATGTAGTGCTACTGCACTGATTGTGTAGCGCTTCCCTCTGTACCCATTGCGGGGTGATTACCCCGTGCTGTCGAACCCTACCCCAGAATGTGCAACTTTGATGATAGCCCCTCCCCCCCGTTCCATCGATGATCCCTCTCCCCATTTTTATTCTCCCTCATAGGCATATCAAATGATGGATTACACCTCCCTTATGAGCACCAACCGGCTGGGCCACATCCTGGACCTGGCAGAAATCAAAATAAACAAAAAAAAAAAAAACAGCAAGATGAAGACGATGGAGAACATCGACGAAGCATTCAAAGGAGCAAACGACACAAGTGACACAAAGAAAATAGAAAAGGCGACCTGTCACTTTAGTCCCGTATCGAAGGATAAGTGCAGATCATTTGACTACAGTTATGAGAGGTCCCTACCCAGTGGGAACATCTTCCAAGACGTAAAAGGAATAGAAATGGAAAAGGATAAACTAAGAGGGGGCAGCCCCAAGGGGAAGGAAGGAAGAACCCCCCATGGGAGTCGTGACAAATTGGAAGAGACGTTAAAGTATGGAGCCTCTGGCGGGTCATCAGTGCACCCTACGGACACCACTACAGGTACCGCTACCGGGAAGGCGTCCCCACTGGATGTGCTTCGAAAGGAGATGGAAAATGAAGACGGTGCGATGAAGGATGAACACTTACAGATGAATGAAACAGTGCAGATCGTTTGCGAGAGTGTATCGGGTGCGCCCGATGGGATTCCACCGGGAGGGGCAAAAGGAAGTCTAAGTAACGAGTTCGAAGCTATGAAGAGGAAAGAAAAAAAGAGTGCTTACGATAGCTTCTACAGGAGGACCCCTGACGTGGATCTCAATGTAGGAAGTGAACAGAATGAGCAAAATAAATCATCGATCAATTCGGTCAGCAGCAGGAGTGACTACACCCTGGTGACTGCCAGCTCCGGTTCGTGCATTGACGAGAAAGGGGGGAGTAATTCCTGCAGTGGAGAGACCCCCAAGGGGAGTGAACGCAGTGGTGATGGAAGTGCGCCGTCCATCGGTGGAGCGCGTAGGAAATGGGATGGGCAACATGAAGGGAGAGGTGATCACAAACGTGATGGTAATCGTGATGACAAACAGGACAGCCACCCGGACGATCGCGCACGAGCACACAGCGCGAGAGACCAAGATACGAGGGTAAAAAGAAAAAAGAAGAAGAAGAAAGAAAAAAAAGAAAAGTATTATGACAAGGATGAGAACAAGCTAGGTGATGAAAAAAAGGAGGACGAGGAAGGAAGGGAATTGCCAAATGACAAGCCGGACGATGTGCATGAAGAGGCACAGAATGAGACAACCAAGGGGGATTTGCTGAAAAGCGGCGCGGAAGACGACACGGACGATGATGATGACGACGAAGATGATGACGATGACGAAGAAAACGACGACGTGCCGTTTAAAAAACCCACAGGAACCATCAAACGGATAAGTGAGAGCGGCGGGACGGCCTACCGCAACATCGAGATGAACAAGTTAAACTCAGTCTGGGTGATACGAGACAAAAACAACAGAATTATAAACGTCAAGTGGGAGAACAAGATATTTGAGAAACTTTTCTTCGAGACGTTTGAAAATTACGTCAAGAAGTACATTAACGATTACCACCCGGAGTGGAGACAGTATCCTTACAACGGGTCGCAGATCAGCGGTATCAAGCATGGCTACCTGAAGAGCATACAGTGAGGAGCTCCCCCATCGCGGTGGGTAGCGGCCCAGCCATTGCAAAAGGGCTCAACTGATTTGATCAACCCCTCCCCCATTCGCTCTTAAGCACGGCCCTGTAAAAATGATTTACCTCAAAGATGGAAGAGAAAAATAAAAAAATCATCATTTTTGCTTCATTTTATCCCTTCTTTTTTTTCTTCTTCTTCTTGCTGCCATTCTGTCTGCTCGTTTCGCCAACTTTTTTTACGTATCAGTTTGACCACGCACGCCTCGCTGCTTCCGTCCCGGTGTACCATTTGTTTGCCCCTGCGTCTTATTTTTCGTTTACTCAGCGTTTACTCTGCGCTTGTTTTGCCCTTACTTCGCCCTTACTTTGCGCTTACTTTGCGCTTACTTCGCCCTCACCTTGCGGGTATTTTATGTCTTTTTTTGTTTTTTTCTTTTTTTTTACCCCCTTACACGCTTCCATAGCATCTCATTTTTAAGGGATGCGAACGGAAACCGCTAACGCAAACCACGCACGGAATTAAAAAGTGTAATTAAGTTGCTGCTCAGAGATGGGACGAAGGCACTTGGACGAAAAAAAGGCGCGTCAGCAGGGAAGCATGTCAGCACGTCAACAGGCCAGGAGGAACTCCTCTGGGCGCCTAGGGCGATCCCCCCCCAAGTGTAATGGTGAAGGATGGGCCGTCATGGATTATTTGCCATGTGGTAGGCGGGTGAGAAGGGGAGGAGTAGCCCTCCAGCCCAGGTTTACGAGCAAGTGAAAATCGGACATTCACTCCGAGGGATTTCCCCAAAAAGGCTTCTTCATTTTTGAAGTATTTGATTGGCACTGCATCTTCATGATTCTGCTTGAGATAGACATGGAAGGTGCATCCCTGGTGGGAGTAGTATTTCTTCCCCTTTTTGTACTTCGCTAGGAGAGTGTATATCTGCATAAAGGCGTCAAATGACTTATCAAGGGGAGACTTATCCTCAAATTGGGGAAGCATTTCATTTTTCATCAAATCGTAGTTGCTGGATAGCGGGGTGGATACATGGAGTGATTGCCATTTTTGAACTCTGTCTATTTTCTCCCTTGGAAAAAGCCTAATGAAGAGCACTTCTGCTATGTGTGGAACGAAGGGGAAAAGGATTTTTAGGATCCCCCTGAAGATATAAACGAGAAGGAAGTTGCTAACCATGCCAACCCCTTCGTCCTCTCCATCGCTGAAGTGGCCACTCGAATGGAGAGTCAAATAAAACTTGGAAAAAATATTCATCACAAAATTGAAAATGATGTTGATGGCCCTCCCCACGTTATAATCTTTCATCTCGCAGAGAACCGAATTCACCATGTGGAGGTAGCTGCGAAAGGTGCCGATGCTGGAGATCCTCTTATGGGGGCTCTTCTCCAAATGGGTAAGTATCATCAGGTTAGGGTTGGACCAGGAGGATGTATCAATTTGCTCGTACGACTGGGGGGGGCACTTCTCTTTGATATACTTTGCGATGCTCCATAACTTTGTCAACAATTTTCTGCTCTTCCGATTGATGTTCTCACTTAGGTGGACATCCTCCGTATCCCTTTGGATAAAACAGAAGGAGAGTCTCACTTGGTCTACGTTTGCTTCCCGCACGAGGCTGTCGTAGTAAGTTGCGTTCGTTTCGCTTTTGCTGATTTTTCGGCCCGCTTGGTCCTTTAAGATGCCGTGGAACTTGACGGTGCCCACGAGGGGAGGGGGTAAACAATCGATGCGCTTGTTGGGGCAGCTGTTTTGGTCACTGTTTGGGCCGCTCTTCGGGCGGCTCTTCTCAGCGTGTTCGTCCTCCCCCAGACGCCCCATCACATAGTGCAGCAGAACGAAGCTTCGCACCACCCACGGCTGCAGGATGTCCTTCCCTGTGAGGAGGAAATCCACCAGGCATTTCCTGACCCGCAGGAAGTGAGGCAGATCAACCCCCAACTGCTTGATGCAGTGTAACGGGTACAGGGAGGACGAAAACCAGCTGTCTAATACGTCCTCCTCCTGTTTTAGAAGCTCCCTCCTTACTTGGCTATGTTGGAATAGCTCCGATTGGGATAAACTCTTGTAAGCTTCGTCCACGTCGTTTCCGTACACATAGCAGGAGGGGGAGACACCCTTTTGGGAGGAGGGGCAGACCCCCTCGGGAGGCTCATACTTAAATAGAGGCACTCGGTGCCCGTAGGGGACCTGCCTGCTTAACGTCCACTCAACGGGGGGGGGAACTACCCCTGTGAAGTAGTCACGATACTTGGAAGGGATTATTCTGTAGTTTCCTTTTTCCCCTCCATGGGGGCCATCAAAAAATATCTTGCTAAGCCTGTCATAGTGGAGGCACCACTGTTCAGCCAGAGTAAGTACACATTCATTATCCTTATAAAAGGCACTCTTCAGTTGAGTCTCCTGTGGGGTTACCTCTTTGGCTAGGCCGCTCTGCAGGAGGTGTTCCACGAGACGGAGAAGTCCCTGCTCCGCTTGACACTTTTTCGTCTCTTTAAGCACGGTATGTTTCTCTCGTTTGGCGCAATGTGATGTGTCTGATTGGGCAGTGTAACTTGTCCCATCCGCATAGTGATTATAATCCTCCTTTTTGGAAAACAGCGGGATGAATACATCTCCAGCGCTTTCACCGTGGCCCATTTCATGCAGAGTTCCATTCTCCATCTTCCTACTTCCCAGTAGGGGCAGAACGTTCCGCTCGTTAGCACAAATGAGAGGTACCCCCTTGTTTAGGAGGGGCAGTAAGGCGTACTTGCCCCTATAGTGCTTCTCCCTCTTTGGAGAGAAGTGCAAAATACCTACTACTCTTTTTAACTCTTCCAGGTTGGCCAATTCGACATGGATGCACTGGGATGGAGTATCTTCAGGTGGCACGTCATGCGTATCTTTTATGTAGAAAAAATGGTGGGAGCTTTGTGGGAAAAACTTCACCTCATTCGTTTGCTGGGAATTGTTTGGATCCATACAGCGGGGCAGTTCCCCCAGTGTGTCTTCTGATTTCTTCCCCGGAAGGCTGGTATCCCCATGGGGGGAGTCACTCGACGTGCCTATGTGTGATTCTTCCTCACCATCCACCAGGCGTAGTGTTACCCTCCATCTGGGCCGGAGCGCCTCCCTGAATTCTACGTCCAGCTTGGAAACGATGGTTCCCAATCGGGGGCAATAATACACAGGGTAGAGTTTCTTCACGATGAAGTTGTTCCTATACAGTGAGTGGAAAGCCGCCGTGACAATATTCTTCATATTTCCATCCATGGTGGCGCAGAAGCGGCTCCTGTCCACTACGATATTCATTTTTTGCATGCACGTGAGGATCTTCTCCTTTAGCTTTTCCTGCCACTGCTTTATTTCGCAAAGGTACTTTTCTCTGGTCCACTCTGGGTTGGCCACTCTGGAGAACGCGGCGTGAGCGCTGAGTCCTCCGTGGTCTGCGCCTGGGGGAGGGGTGATTATGGGAAAAGCATATGGAGAGAATACGGCAAGGGTGGTTAAGAGAAGCTCATATGGAGTGGACTAGGCAAGGCTGGTTAAACGAAAATCATATGGAGTGGACTCGGCAAGGCTGGTTAAGCGAAAATCATATGGAGATGCCGCCGCTCCTGCCCCTCAGTAACCTTACCGTACAACCCCAGGGAGAACCTAGACCAGATGTGCCTACTGAAGAGTAAGAGGACGTGGAGCTGAAAGAAGTTAAAGTAGTGCCCCGCGTGTAACTCTCCTGACAAGTTCGGTGGAGGAAATAAAAAAATACATGAGTTGGCATACTGGGAGGGACTAAACCGATCTAGATATCGCTTCTCTTCTGTCTTCTTCATGGCATACAGCCTGGCCGTCAGTTCTTCGCTGTATAATCCGTTAAGGTCCTCTATTTGGTTAATGTACTTCTCCAATTGATCTTCCTGCAGTAGGGAACTCCAGGGGGGGGTGGTACTCTTCCACCTCCCTCTTCTCGCTATGGTGTATATTTTTTCTAAATGTAGCAACCCGTCTGTGTTTTTAAAAAAGCCATATTTTGGAAAAGAAGTCATCCTCGATACTTCTCCCTTCTGGTAGAGCTCTTCCAGTAGGTTCCTCGTCTTTTCTTCACCTCCACTTGGGGTGACTGTTCCAAATATGGATTTCTTTTTGCAGATGGTCAGGGAGTGTAGCACATGGTGTGGTGATAAACGTAGGGATGATAAGGGCTTCTCCTCTTCCATTGTTGGGTAGAGAGGTGAAAATTTTTTTTTTTTTCTTCTTCTTCTTCCTCCTGCGGTTGCAACACCGAGTTCTCGTGAAAGGGGAGACACCGCGACAGAGATGCCTTCAACAAAGTGGAGTGGACCCCGGTGAGGGGGTCTTCCCCTTTTACTCCTTCGCTCACTTGTGGTGGAGTCATCACACGTGACAACAGGGGGGCATTCGCTTGACCGTCTACAATAGCTAGGTTGTGTTGTTACGTACTTAATTCTCAAGACACGATTAGCCACCACCCGATGGACAGGGGGGCGTATTTCTCCACCCTGTAGAGACAGGTTCGCTCCAGTTGGCAGTCCCCCTCGGGTGTGCCCTTCCACCGGGAAAGAAGGGGTCAGGCACAGGTGCACAATGCACAAGTGGGGTAGCAGTGCTTTCATCGTGGGGACAGAAGCGAAGTGGCGGTGGATGCCGTAGGTGGTACCCTCTTCACGTCTCCATAAAATAGCCCTCCCCCAGAGAAGCATTTTAATCGCGACACGACTCACAACCTCTGCCCCTTGGCGAATTTCTGCCAACTGCAAATATATGGTTTTTCCTTTTTTCGCCCTTCCCTTCAGCCGGGGTGTGTATGCTGATGGGGAAGAAAAAGCATCACATGGGAGGACGTTTTCAAAGGGGAATATGGCGAGGCCTACCAACCCCGCTCGCCCCCTTCTCACACACAGTTTCCAGACGGCCTTCGGGAGATAAGACCAATCAGGTTGTTGGTCCGATCGTTTTGTTCTTTCCCTAAATGTACATGCGTGTATGGCTACATTGGCTTTTCTTCTGCTGTTTGGCTGCTCAGTTGACGATGGGGAAGGGAAGCACGACTACATTGTACCTTGTTAGATCTCCTTCTCGCCTTTTTTTTCGTTCCTCTCACTGCGACGGTGGAGGAGGAACCGTGGGGGTTGGGTAGCCTCTCCGAGCAGATTGCCCCATTCAGCATTCCCCCCAATTATGAGTAGTTGCCAAACACATGGCGCGCGATACGTATAGAAGAGCGAAACGTGGTGCGCCTACTCTGACATATGCATTTGTCGCCGTTCCCGCTTTTATCATGTTTATCCTGTTTATCGGGTTCAGCGTTTTTTTTTTTTTTACGCATAGAAACGGGGGAAAGAAAAAAAAAACAGGTAGAGCTACATCCCCGCCAGTGACACAAAATATGAAAACTGTTTCTCCTCCTGTTCGTTGTATAAGCATGTGGGATGCGTGATTAGAGAAGCAGTTGGAAACGTCGTTCAGGGGAACATCTCCGGGGGAGTATACATACCTGCCTACTTTTTTATTCTCTTCTTCTTTTCCTCTTGGCTGGCGAATTAACGTCATTCGTCACCCCAAAGGGGGGGGGAGAGACTCGCTAGATTAGGAAATAAGAAAAAATAAATAAAAAAAAAAATAAAGAAGAAATAGCACAAATAGCAGAAAAAGCAGAAACAGAAGAAGCAGCAGATGCCATATATGTACACATAAAGAGGAGGGCCTTATGGTATAAAACGAGTGGAAGAAAACCCCACAATGTGAACTTCCCCCCTCGTGCAGCTTCCTGAGATAACCCCCGCCAAGCTGTATCAGTTACGTTTCCCTATTAAGGGAGATTCGCAGAAGGCCTTTCCAAATGCAGAGGGTGGAGATCCTCCAGTCCTACCTGAGAGTTTCTCCATCTGACTTTTTCATATGCGTATGTCAGGGCATATATATCTGTACCCACAGGATTATACGTGGCAAGCGGGGCAGCAGGAAGAAAACCCCGGTGTGTGAAGTACGTAGGATTTTCCCAAGCGGGAGAATCAGATTTTTACCTCCCCCCCCATCGTGACCGCCAAGAGACGTCGCTTGATTAGTTCACCATAAGTAACAAGCTTAGCGGCGCATAAACGGTGGACTTAAAAAAGAGGGGTGCTGATGGATCGAAGCGATTAGACGTCGCAAAATCAATACAGGTCCGTACCCACATTGCTGCATACAGCCACATTGAGAAAGGAACAATGAGGGGTGGGGGAGGATTCTACAAAGGCACCAACACGGAGCAGACGCCCTATTTTGGGGATAAGGAAAAAAAGCTAATGGAAAAAATGACCTGGCCTGAGATTTACAACCAAAAGATAGACCTCACCAAGATCAACTTGGACGTCGTAGGAAAATGGATTCACAAAAGGCTCATCGAGATTTTAGGCTTTGAGGACGACATACTGTATGAGTACTGTGTCTCTCAGTTGAGGCTCGACCAGGAGGGCATCGGTAAGACTCCCCCTCCAACGCGGCATCACGGATTAGAAGCGTCTATTAGAGGCGTCAACCTGTGAATGCTACCTATTTCCTGGCTCATTCTGCATGCTACCCATTTGCTAACCCATTCCCCCCCTCGACAGACGACGAGAGCGAAAACTTCCTAAACTCGAAGAGGCTGAAAATAAATCTTACCGGCTTCATCGGTAAGGCGCAGGGATGGAGAAATGAAGCCAAGTTAATCCCGCTCGTCATAAAAATCTAACATCAACGGAGTAACGATAGAAGTGACCCCTGTTCTATATCCTCCCCTCTACTGTCCCCCCTTCGCAGGGAACAAAAAGAGCGAAGTCTTCGTCCAAGAGCTACTGGAACTTCTCATTTCGAACGAGCAGAATGAGGTGCAAATTCTGGAATCCCAAATGGAAACGAAAAGAATCGAAATGGAACAAGTCATAAGGGAGAATGAGCTCCTGCAGAAGGACATTCATAATTTGAAGACCATATACACAGGTACGTGAGGCAAAATTGAAGAATCTGCTGAGGCGACGCTTCGACTCAGGTGTGTACCGCTCAGGTGTTACCGCTTCTCTCCTGATAAGCTCTTCTTCCATCCCACACTTGCAGGAAATGCAAACCGGAAAGACCCCCCCCCAGTGGAAAACACCAGCGGAAAAACCGGTGACCCAAACGGAAGGTCGCAGGATCTAGGGGGTAGATCCCAGCACCTAAGGGGTAGGTCGCCGGATCCGAACAAACAGATCGATGGCGACTCGCCCAGGCACAGTGACCACATCCACAACAAGAGGAGGAAGAAACCAACTAGAGGTTCTACTCCCGAATGGTCCCAGTCCAGCACCGAATTAGAGAAACTGGAAAATTACAAAAGGAGGAAAAGTAAAATATATGTTAAGAGGGGAAAGCATCACAGTGATGAAGACACGTCCAATGGTGAAGACGAGGAGGAGCCGGACGGCCCTAGCTGTATTGAGGACTCCTCTTCGGATGAGTCAACGGAGGAATATAAAAAAAGGAGAAAAAAAAATCATAAACATATGTCAAGTGTAGATGTACATAGTTCTAGTAGTGAGCGAAGCAGTGACAGGCACAGAGAAAGGAGGAAAAGGCGAGATCGGGGGAGAAGCCTCGACAGGGAGAGGGGCAGAGGCAGGGATAGAAGCCGAGGAAGGGACATAAGTCGAGAAAGGGATAGAAGTCGAGAAAGGGATAGAAGTCGAGAAAGGGATAGAAGTCGAGGAAGGGATAGAAGCCGAGAAAGGGATAGAAGCAGGGCAAGGGAAAAGTATCGAAACAGGGAGAGGCATCGAGATAGGGATCGAAGCCGAAGTAGGGGGCGAAGCCGAAATAGGGATCGAAGCCCGGACATAAGGAGGTTTCACAGAAAACGCAGAAGACAATGGAGCGCGACGCCCTCCGACGCCAAGTCAAGCACTGCATCCAGCAGCAGCAGAAGCAGAAGTAAAATCGAGAGGGGGTATGCAACAAGGGGAGGGCGAGGTAAGCATGTACGCCCCCGGAGAAGTGTCAGTGCAACGCAATCGGATGGAAGAAGCAGTTCGTCTGTCTCCCTTTCACCTTCGTCCTCAGGAACAGTAAAGCATAAGCATCGAAAAGAGTTGGACACGGTGAATGGCAGAAATGGCAGGGGCTCCGTGAAAGAATTTGACCACGACAGGTAGAAATTAAGCTTTAGTTTGAGCGGTTTGCGGGCGTCCGCCAGCCGGTCCCCTTTGAGCTACGTCGTACCGCATTGCGCCGTTACAGCGTTAGGCTGCTACTCTGCTGCGCTGCTACGTCCATGCCGCCCCGACGCGAAGTAGTTTACGAGTCCAACAGAAAAAGCATTCACGTCACCTCATCTAGGCAATCCTTCATTTTTTTTTTTTATTCTTCCACTTCTCACATTGAAAATCCAAAAGAAGAGAGGGGTTGGGGGGTGTTCCCCCCATTGTCATTTGTTTATGCCTCCCTCTTTTGTTTCCCCCCTTTTTTTTTCGTTCCGCTCCGTTGGCGCAACGACCGTTTTGCGAGATAAATCCTTTCCCATTCCCCCACTCCCTTATCAGTACCCGAAAATCGTCCAGAGATTCAAACGCGAAAGAAATTCAAAGCATAATGAAAAGGAAAAGCTACAACAGTATGAAAAAGGGGCTTCGGGCCTGGTCTCCCTCCGAGAGTGAGAATGGGTAAAGCGTTTTTGGGTGACGTACTTGTGTGTGGCATGGCATGCCAACAAGATGTGGCACAACAGTTGCAGTATCCAACACTACACAGTTTAAAAGGAGACAACGTTCATTTTGTCTCCAAAAGAACTCGCTCCCTGTGTGAAGAAGCAAATGGCGGCATGAGGAACACGCGGGGGGTGACGCGTAACACCGCTGCATCGCTGTCTGCACCTCCCCCACGTGGCGCCCCCCTCAGCCATTTCGCCCAAGCGGTGTGCGCAGCTTCGAAAAATGACATTTTTTACTGTGACCCGTTTGTTTAAAAGGGGGAAAAATGGTCAACGTGAAAAAATGGAGAAAGTGGAAAATGGCAAAGGAGAAAAATGGAGAGAGTGAAAAAAATGGACAGAGTTGACAGAAATGGGATTAGCAAAGTGGGTAACCTTTCCCAGTTGCTTAAATTTTTTTCTCTCATTTTTTTTCCTGCCTTTTTTTCTCATTCTTTTCTTTTCTTCCCATTGTGCTTCCGCGTGTGCAATTTAAACACGCGGAAGGTGGAGCATCGTCACGGAGGAGTGGGGCGAAAAATTGCCAAACTTCATTCATTTTGTATGCTTTATTTTTTCCTCCCTCCCTCCACGCACCTTTCCCTGACTCATATTATTACGCAGTATTTGTACACAACGCGCAGCGCATAGTGCTCAGTGTTCTTTCCACGCCAGTGAAATTTTAAATACTTCAATCCACAGTTACTTAAATTAATTAACTTAAAATAGATTTTCTCGGTTTCGTACTTCTCGTTTAGTTCCTTTATCCTAGACTCCACGGACATAATCACAGACTTGGTTATTAAATACCTGAACACTATGCTTATGAAGTAGTGGACAAAGGACGCTAAAAAGGTGCATGCGAATATAAAGGAAGTGTCCACGTCCTTCTTGAAGTGAAAGAATATGATGAGTCCACAGAAGCTTAGGAACATCAGGGTGCATGAAATGGTTGACATGAACAGGGTGGAAGTCCTGCGGGGGAGAGGGCAAATGTCGAGGGTGCATATATATGTCTATATACATATATGTACATATGAATATATACATATATGTACATACACATACATAGCGTACGTAGGAGCTTGCACACCGCTTCGCCGAGGGTTATGCTCCCCTCTACGAACGCGAAACAATTTAGGGAAATAAATTATGACCTTGGAACCATCGACTTCATTAGCAAGTTTAGGTCGTCTATCTCTCTCTGCATCTTCTCGGGGGGGTATAAATAACGCGTGTCGTTGTTCCATGGCTTAAATTTATAAACGTAGGTGGGCAAGGATACGTGCATTGGGATGTCTGTGTACTCATACACTTCCACGTCATCTTGGGGCTTCCCAAAATCGGAGTTCAGCATTGTTAACCCGAGCGAGGTGGCGCAAGGTTTGTGTGAATATATCGGTGCCTTGTGGGCTTTCCCAAAGGGAGCCAAACCTGTGCCTCTTTTCTTCGCTACGAGTGGCAGCCTAACGCTTCGCACGTTTCTCCTTTGCAAAGCAGGAAAAAATAAATAAACAGAACAGAACAAAATAGAATAAAATAAAAGGCGTAATAAATTGAGCAAAAATAGGGACTACTTAAGGATCTCCTCAACAACTGTCTTTGTGGTGGTCGCTAAAAGAACTCCGCATTTTTTCTTATCCCCTAGGAGTAAGCCATTTACCATTCCCATTTTTTTTTTTTTTTTTTTTTTTGGGCTTCCATTTTGGCTAGCCAAGCTAACAAATTCTGCAAAATCATCTTGCTGGCAATATATTTTTTGCTTTTTTTTTATGAACGTTCATATTTTTGGGGGGCAAATTAAAGGGGACGCCTCCATTTGGCTAGTTGTCCCCCCTGGACTTCCAACAAATGGGCAGAAAATCGCCCGGAGGGAAAAAAAAAGCCAAATCAGCAGTTGTGCAGAATTTTCCACTAAGACAAACGCCGCGAGTCGGTGACGCATTTTGACGTCTTTTCGCCGTTGTCGTTTGTTCGTGTGCTGTCCAAATGGCGTCCGCATCTTACACCTTTTTCTGCTGCGGAGCCTTTCGAAGAAAAAAAAAAACAAAAAAAAAAACAAAAAAAAAGGCGCAAAAAAAAGGGCGCACAGAACTGTTCTCAAATGAGTGTGCACAAACGCGCGTCACCTCGCTCAAGGCGCAAAAGGGTTTTGCCCTTTGCGGTGGCCCTCAGCCAGGACGGCACCACGGTTAGCGGAGCTGAATGGGGAGGAAGTAAAAAAGGGGAAAGTTTCTTCCACCCACTCCCACTCCCCCACCCTACATGTACCGCTGCGCAACGGGCGTCCGATAAATCTGCGACGTGAGCGACTTGGAACGATCCATCATCTTGACGTAGTTCTCCCGCATCGCTGTGAAGTCGCTTTTGAAGCTGTTCGAACTATTCACGTAGTTTCGACTGGCATTGCTGTTCAGGTCATTTATGTCCAGCGCCCGTGAGTGTTTATTTGTGTACATGTTTAAATTCGATTCAATCGATTTCGGAACGTTGCGCGAGAAGTTACTCACACTGTCCATATTTATTAGCGGCGTGTTAGAGCCGTTATTTCGCTCCACAGAGTTGAAGTGCATGTTTCTCTCCCTCATGAAGAGGCTATTTCTAGGTCTCACAAGGAACTGTTTATTCTCATGGTCCGCTCCTCCCCTTCCTCCAATCACGTGAATGATGGAGTCCTCTTCAGACGTGTTATTCTTGTTGACGCTGTTACTTACGATGAAGCTACTGTTGTTGTTCGTATCGGCGGTGTAATTCTTTCTCTGACCGACTGCGCTGTATTTGTGCAAAGAAAGATCCCCTGTGTAGTTATTACCATTCGATGGATTCCTCGGAGAAAATTTTGTTACACTTTGCTGGCACATCTTGCCATGCTTTCCATGCTTTCCATGCTGGTCATACGGGGGAACAACTCTGTTGCTAAAGATTTCCTTCTGTGGCATGGTTGGATTTAGCAAGATGGAACTCATCCTGCGCGCGACGTATTCGTTCTGTGTTAGCGAATTCTTCAAATGGTTGTTCACGATTTCTTGTTCAGCCTTGTCAATATTTTCGAGGACGCTGTTTGGGGCATTGCTCCCATTTCGGACATTATTGTTAAGGCCCTTTTTGGTGAAAATATTGCCATGCGCAGTTAATTTCGCCCTAGGCATATTATTCCCCCCAGCGTGGTATGCACCCATAATGTTGTTAATATTACTCATGGCTCGCTTCGACTCGGTTCCATAGTAGTTTAAATCCTCCTTGCGTAGAAGATCGCCATTTTTTTCAAATCTCCCTTTGCCGCTTCCACTTGCATGGGCCCTCGTATTCCGGTGGCCCCACATGTTGGAGTTGACTCTATTGGCATGGTCCGCATCGTAAAAACTTCTCCTCCTGTGTGTTGTTGTCTCATTCTCCATCGCTAGGCCTAAATCTTGGGCATTGCTGAGGGCACTATTCCTGCGGTTATTTTCGGTCAAACTATTGTCTTCTTCCTCTCGTTCGTATTGCGCTGTTTTTCTGGCTTGGTCGGTAGGCCCAGATAGTCTCGCCAGTCCCATCTCCCTCTTCAAATAGGCTCCTTTCGCTGGGTCTCTGAGCAGATCCTGTTCCCCCTGGTGATAACGCGTCGCGTTGCTGAGGCTGCTTCTCCTTCGATTGTTGCTGCTGTTCCTCGCGCTGCGTTCTCCTAGGAGCTCACCACGGTCATCATTAATACCGCTAACATGGTCAACCCCGATCATATGGGTACGGTCACCGTCCTCTTCGCCAAGAAAGTTCAGGCTGCTCCGCCTGCTTGCCCCGCTGGGGCCATTCACATTTTCAACGCTGTTGCAGTGGGTGCTGTTCGTCGCCTCCTTTCGGTACTGATACAGGTTGATCTTCCCATTACCACCGGCATTGCAGAGGCCCTTTTCGGCTCCATATTCTGTGGCATTGCCGCCACGGACGACGCCCACAGGCCTGTCATCCTCGTTTGGCCCCAATTCATCCACCGGGTCGTGCTCGTCAGTCCTGTTCGCAAAGACTTGGCTGTTCTTCCTACCCGGGTAGGTATTTTTACCCAACAGGTTTCTCCCTCTATCATCCGCATGTTCATTTTCCTTCACGCTGTAATAATCCTCCCTTTCAATCAACCCAGAGATGTTGTAATTATCAGCGTCCCCATTATGGTGTGGAGCTCCCCCGACAGGAAGTAAAGCATCCCCCGTCTGATATTTTTCTTCCCTATAGGAACGCAAATAGGGGATCTTGTTCTGGTAACTCCTAATCCCTGCGTTAATTTCATTCATCAGTTGCAAGTTCACGCTCATGAAGTTTTCCTTGTCCTTTAAATGGAAAGAATTTTCATTGTTGATGAGTCCCTTCTGGGAGTACTCATAGTACATCTGCTCTGCCATCTCCAAAATGTAGTCTTTGTTGTGGCTTTCGTTTATTGTGATTTGTTCATCGATTTGTTTCAACTTGGAGAGAGCTAAGATGATATCATTCGTGTCGATGTCTTTGTATACATCGTCGTTAAAATTCTTGATTTGGCTGCCCAAGAGGGCCATTATGCTGTAGTTGTTCTTCCTGTTGCTCAGTTCGTTAAAGTCGATGCTTTCATTTTGCAGCTTGTGCTTGTCTACCAGTGCCAACAGCACGGTGTTGATTTTGTACTTTTCGAATATCTCTCCATGGTAGTAGTTCAGCTTGAGCATCTTCATTTTTTTCTTATTGCTTCTCTTTTGCCATCCCAAGGGAAGCGCATCTCTCCAGGGTTAACGCGTTCGTGAGTGCAGGGGGGTTGATGTGCATACGTACGAACATCCGTAGATGCGTACATGTGCGCATAGCACATAGCATCCACCTGGCCAAGCAACCGAGCTCACAGAACGGAGAATTCGCCACTTACGCGAGGTGCCCACCACTATGTCCGTGAAAATCAATCTGGGAATTTCCCCCCGAAGACGCAGGGAGCACAAAAAAAAGAAAAAAAATAAATGATAGTACAAAAAATACAGTAAAATTACAGAAGGGAGGAATTCTGCCCATGCAGCTGCATATCGTCCGTCCGCACGGGATAAGATACTTGAAGGGTAATGAATCTCCAGTGAGGAGATCATTCGATGTACAATAAAGCGAGTTTTTATTCGCCTGGGAACAAACAATTAGGAAGGATGACAAAAAAAAAAAAAATACTCTTTATAAAAATGCACGCACATACGTATGCAGTTATGCGCGCCAGACGGTGGATGACAATTCTGTTTTCAGCTACGATTTACACTTACATGGGGGTAATTATATGTGTTCTTTTTCCATTTGGGGAGTAGAAACGAATGAACACCACATTGTGTATGTTATGC